GTTAGGGGGGAGTGAGTTCTCCCTCTTTCAAGAATGAATTAAATCCCCAAGACAGCTGGTTACTAAAGAGTCTGGCTTCCTCAGTTTCACTTTTACATACTGTTTTGTCACATGATTTTGCACGTACCGACTCCCCTTCTACTGTCCAGCATAAGTGGAAGCAGCCCGAGGCCCTCATCAAATGCAGATGCTCGATCCTGAACTTTTCAGCCACCAGAATCATAAGCCAATTAAACCCTTTTTCTTTATAAATTACTCAGACTTGGGTATTTTGTTATAGCAACACAAAATGGATTAAGATAGTCCATATACCATGAAATTCACAATTCTAAAGCATGTGATCTACTTTTTTAACAGTACAGTTTACTGACATTAAGTGCATTCACATTGTTGTGCAACCATCACCACCATTCACCATCCATCTCCTGAACTATTTTTTTTCTTTTCCTTTTTTTTTTTTTGATACAGGGTTTCACTCTGTCATCCCGGCTGGAGTGCAGTGGCATGATCACGGCTCACCACAGCCTCAATCTCCTGGGCTCAGGCGATCCTCCCACCTCAGCCTTCTGAATAGCTAGGGCTATGGGCATGTGCCACCACACCTGGCCAGGTTTTTCATTTTTTTTGTAGAGACAAGGTCTCATTATGTTGCCTAGGCTGGTCTCAAGCTCCTGGACTCAAGCAATCCTCCTGCCTCGGCCTCCCAAAGTGCTAGAATTACAGGTGTGAGCCACTGTACCCAGACTCCTGAACTGTTTTCACCTTCCACACTGAAACTCTGTCCCCAAGCATAATGTCTTTAAGGTTCATCCATGTTATATGATGTGCCAGTACTTCAGTACAGGGACTACAGATGCATGCCACCATGCCTGGCTAATTTTTACATTTTTTATTCATTCCTTTTTTAAAAAATTTTTGTATTCATGCCTCTTAATGGCCGAATAATATTGCATTGTAGGGATATGCCACATTTTGTTCATCAGTTGATGAACACATGAGTTGCTTCCGCTTTTGGTTATTATGAATAATGTTGCTATGGACATTCATGTACAAGTATTTAAATGTACCTAATAGAGAAGTTGCTATGTCATAAGGTCACTGTGTTTAACTGATGAATTGCCAGACTATTTTCTGCATTTTACATTCCTAAATGCAGTGTATGAAGATTCCAATTCCTCCACATCAACCCTTATAGTTTTCCACATTTTTCTTTTTTCTTGGTTTTTTTTTTTT